TTTTTTTTTTTTTAAGATGGTCTCTTTCTGTCACCCAGGCTGGAGTGCAAGGGAGCAATCTCAACTCACTGCACCCTTCACTTACCTGGCGGAAGCCATCCACGCACCTCAGCCTCCCACAGTGCTGGGATTGCAGGCATTAGCCACTGCACGCAGCTGTAGCATCTTTTATAAACTAGTTTTGTCCTAAAATTTTCTCTAAACTAGTAGGACTATTCCACTTGCACGTTTGTGGTTTAGAAAATGTTAGTATGCTAAAAAACAAAAAAAAAATTAAATTTAAAAAAAAAAAGAAAAAAAGAGAAAATGTTAGTACGCTAATCCTACATTAATTTTAGGCATTTTCTTTGTTTTCTTCCTATTTTTTTAATGTAACATGATGCCATATGAAACAGGTTCTATATCATATATAATAGAACCGTTTTAATTATTGCCCTAATTTATAAATATAATTTTGTCATACTTCTTCAGTTGGCTGAGAAAAAAAATATTGTCTACCATTCCCCAAATAAGGTTATTTGCATGCTGTATTTCTAATGAAGGTTTATAAATTTGGAAGTTAATTGCTTTTACAGTATTGACAATACTGTTCAGGGAATAATTGGGATACTTTTTTAAGCTACTATTTTAGCAAACTATTAGGAAGTCTGAAAGGGTATAAAAGCTCTTAACAGTTGATAGAAGTAGAAATGGACATGAGTCAGTGACTTTTATCCCACTGTTAATACTCAGATTTAATGTTACCCTATCTTGGTTAGAGGCTTTATTTCTCAATTTCTAATGGATAATTTGACATGATGCAAACAAACTAAAATCATTACATCTCCTTTTAACCTACCTGTTAAACAGTAGCACAATACTAAGTGTATATAGCAATTACTCTGTGAAAAGAATATTACTCACCTTTAATCAGTTATGTATTTAAGTTTAATGTATAAAGATCTTCTTGATAGAAAATAGCTTTGCACAGTAAGACAGTTCTTAGTATGGAAAGCATAGTTACTGTATATTTGCCACATGAATTCTAATGTTTTTGAGAGACAATTAAATGAGATAATAAATACATATGTGAGACAATATGTATTTTTAAAGGGCATTACAAATACAGTGATGATTTGATATTTAAAAATATACTTGCATTATTTATGTGGCCAGTAATGTACTACTAACTGCAGTGCATTGGCAGCTCCTGGACCAAAACAAAACTGGAAAAATTGCCATTGTAATTTGTGTTCTTACAATTTTAAAGATTTTATATAATTTTGTTCTGTAGCTTTCAAAGTTATCTTGGTCATTTATATATTATATTGCCCAGAGTGTATGTGTTTCTTTATAGAAGAGAAAGATGCTTAGTAACTTAAAACATTATTGAATTATTACATGTATAATTTGTTTAAGTACCGCATGCAGTTATCATAAAGCTAATTTTTGCTTTTTGTTTTCTTGCCAATAATAGACGTCTTCCATGTATGCACCTTTTCCACCAAGTGTGTGTTGACCAATGGTTGATTACCAATAAGAAGTGCCCCATATGCAGAGTGGACATTGAGGCCCAGCTGCCAAGTGAAAGTTGACACCATGTTTCTGGACCGTTGCCCTCCCTCTCATTCCCATTTTTCCTGGTACTGCAGTCAACCAAAGATGGCATGACTTACCTGCGCAGATTTGGAAGCATTGAACTTAAGAGTGCTGGCTCTGCTATATGGTACAACTAATGCTAGACCTTCAGTTTATGTATACAGTTGATTTTGTTGTATTTATAAAAGCTTTTTTTTCCTAGATTTGACATTTTTCCTGTATCATTTTACTGTATTTTTGCATGGTTCCTTGTATTGCATTTCTTTGCACATATTATGGGCTTGTGACCCTAAACTTGCAGGCAAGATTAGCCGCTTTAGTAAGTAGAATTTTGTGGTCTTTTTGTTTTTTACATAGTACCAAGCCTTGATAATTATGAATTTTTTATCCATTACTAACCTTTAATTTAATCAATCATGTACTTTAGTTTAATGTATAAAGATCCTCTAGAAAATGATAATATTGTGTATTAAGACATTCCTTAATTAGGACAAAATGGCTGCTGTGTATTTACTATATGGAGTTCTGGGTTAAATACCACCCTTAATACTGGGAACAGAATACAACCCATACTAAATCAGATGCAGGTGGTGGTCACATCACCAGAGTGATCAGCATAAATTTTCTTGGTGTATCCTTTTCCTTTCAACACAGTGCAGATAAGAGTTGAATATTAATATCATACATTTAGACTGCTGTTCTGATTGCATTTATCTTTTTCCTACATCATTTAGAATTTTATTTCCCTGATTCAGTTTTTGCTGCTGTGAAACAGCTCTGATGAACACTAAATATTAATTTCAATTAGCTAGATTGTACATACTTGCAGATTTAACAAAATTTTAGGGAAATTGAAAAAGACATGTAGAATTTGTTGTCTTCTGCTAAGCACGAAAAGTTAAGATATCTGCTTATATTGATTTTGTAGACACATTAAGTTAAGATTTGGAATTTAAGTCTTTGGCAGGTATCTGTGCATCCATAGAACTTCTAAAGGTCCCAGGATCACTTTTAAGGGATTTTTATTAGTTTAAAGATAAATAAAGTCAGCTGAATCTACATGTCTCTTGTTTTATTTCTCTCTAAACTTGAAAACAGTAAATCTGCAGATACTGTGAGGCACAAATTATACTGTCAACCTACTGTTGCTATGGTTATATACTCCCACTTCATACATTACCAAGAGTCGATCACTGATTTAAAATTTTTAATTTCTATAGTTAAGATTTACTGCATAATATAGAATATAAAGTTAAGTTAACATACTAACATTTCTCCTTTGGAGGAAGTTTTAATCCACTTCAGGATGCATATTATTATCAAGATACTTTCATATACAGGATAGCCTAATTTTATTTGTTTAAATATACTTAATATGCCCCAGATTGCAAATGCATCCAGTCAGTAATATCACTGTCTGTATGTGGAGGACATGTTCCCATGGATCATATGTGAAGATGTCAATAAGCTTGCATTAAGCCACCTGCTTTGTAAGTGGATTGATTAATAAATAACTTATATTTCTATTGTCTTTGTGTTTCATGATTAGTTTTTATAAAAACAGTTTACATTAAACATCTTGGAATTCAAAAATAGTGATCTCACTCACATTGACATTTGCATAATTTGACATTTATATTCATTCAGTAATGACTACTTGCCCTTTTTTTATATTAATGTTGAAACTGTAGTAGCTATCAATGTTAACATGCTTAGACATAGTATGTGTGCAGATGTACGATGGGTTTAAAAAGCATAACTTATGATTAAACTGAGGTTGTAGAAGGTCAGGGAAGAGTGAATGAGTGAGTGACCTCTGGGTAAAAGAGCAAGTAGCCTATCTTCCTTTAAGTAAGTAGCCTGCAATGGATGTGATACTTTGCCACTAGAAAACCCTGGATCTGTGCCAAGGGATTGAAGAGGTGTAAGATGGGGAGAATTGTATGCCATGGAGTCCTCTTGATGTTCCCCCAAATATAAGTAAAGCACAGGTGGATTTCTCTATTTTTGAATATAACATCAGATTTAGATGCACGACTACTTGTTGACTTGTTTTATAATTGCTACTGATTTTTTTAATGTAGGCAATGCATCGTTACTTTAAAATTTATTTAATAAAAGTATTTGTGACATAAACCTAAATTGTTAATATAAGAGCTTATTAAGCTATTGCCATTAGTTACTGAAGAGTGTGATAATATTGAAGAAAGTAAGGAAGAAAATGACTTTGAACATTTTTACTTTTTGTGCTTTGTTTTGGTGTCTTCCATATCCTGCTGCATCTTTTATGTCACAATGAACATTTCAGTGATAGCTGTCCAAATACATAAAAGCTAAAATTCTTTTGTCAGCACATCCTTATTTTTATTGTTGTTAATATGCAAGTGATAAACTGATTATTTGAAACTTTTTTCATTGGTGACTTTATTTTAGCTGCTAGCACACTTGACCATTTGAACCATAACAGTTAAACTACTTCTGTTTTAAAACCTGTTGTTAGTAACTAGTTGAAACAGCGAAATTAAAATGTAAGGTCTTGAGGACATTTTATTATTAATGTTTCATAAATGGGAATAGTTTAAATCTGTATAAAATACATCCTAGTTTCTAACTTCTAAAACCTCTGGAAACATAGTATATGTGTGTCACACACACACAAATATAGATACACTGTGTTGCTATATATATATGTATATGATGTTGTTTTTGAGACAGAGTCTCCCTCTGTTGCCAAGGTTGGAGTGCAGTGGTGTGATCTTGACTCACTGAAACCTCCACCTCCTGAGTTCAAGTGATTCTTGTGCCTCAGACTCCGGAGTAGTTGGGAATACAGACGCGCGCCACCATGTCACCGTGGCCAACCATTATATATATATATGTATTATTATTGAAAACATCACATGTCACAGTATTGGATATGTCTTTTTCTCTCAGTCATAGATATTTTCTTAAGAATTATATACAAGACTGGGCATGGTGGCTCATGCCTGTAATCCCAGCACTTTGGGAAGCCGAGGGTGGTGGATCACCTGAGGTCAGGAATTTGAGCCCAACCTGGCCAAACCCCATCTCTATTAAAAAATACAAAAATTAGCTGGGCATAGTGGTGTATGCCTGTAGTCCCAGCAACTTGGGAAGTTGAGACAGGAGGATCGCTTGAACCACAGGAGGCAGAGGTTGCAGTGAGCTGAGATTGCGTCACTGCACTGCAGTTTGGGTGACAGGGCAAGATTCTGTCTCTCAAAAACCATCACACACACACACACATACATATATACATTGCTCTAAAACAATTATGTTTTTACTAAGAAAAATGTTACCAATTATATTCAATTATATTTTGTCATTTGGGCCTGCTGGACTGAGGATAGTCTTTTCTATATTCTGTATGAATTCATAGACCAGACACTTTTTAGAGTAGTATAAAGAATATAGACTTTGGAGTCATTCATAGTTGGAATTTGAATTGTGCAACTTTGAACAACTTACAATTAAGTCCTCTGAGACTAAATTTTTTCATCTACCAAATAGAAATAAAACCTGTTTCTCAGGTGATTAGGATTAAATGAGATAATGAATTTAAAGGGCTTTGCACATAGTACATATGTAAGAATATCAGTTTTTCCTATGCTGGCTTCACCCCACCACTCAAATATCTGTGCTTTCGATAACAAATGGTAGTATAGCAAGGTGCTGAACCATAGATTAGTTTTTGGCTGCTAATTTCTCTTACACTGATTCCAAGCAACTAATTACTAAATAAGGAAACATCTCTTCAGCTTTTATCTAATGTGTTGGAACTTTTCATTATCTGTAGGGATGGAAGATTCCCAGCCCATGTGCTTTCTTTCCCTTGCCTTGCAGTCACAGCAGGAGTACAGTTAGCATCAATACCATTCAATGCTGTGCTTTAGGCAGCTACTGCTAGTGGATCAGAATAGGCACAGGCTATGGAATCATTTGCCCTTTCTGAACTAAAATTAATTCCTTTGAGGGAAATTAACATCTAAGATTTCTCATTCTCTTCCAGTTTTTCTCACCACCAAACTGTTATGCAGGGACCTGTTGGCTGTTAGAGGTTAAATAAATGCACACTACTGAACTATGTTGTTGCAATTTAACTATATTGTGTTCTGCAAAGTAAGAATTTGGCTTCTGCAATTGCCTAGATAGCTGGTAGTACAACTCAGGATGCTCAGATTTTCAGTCTGGCAGCTCAGAGATGACCCAAAGGCCTGTTCTACCTCTCACATATCTAGGAATTCCTTCATATTGTATGGAACCCTCTAAACTTGTTATTATTCTAGGGATCCTGTTTTTTAGGTTCTGAAGAAGTTTTATGTAAGAAAGTTGTTTTACAAGGGAGTTGGAATAGATGTGGCGAGTCTCCCATCCACTGCTTTCCAACCTACCTTTAACCAAGGAATGAAGAATGCCTTTCATCTAGAATGAAATCAGCAAGTCTAGAAGGCTCTCTAGATATAAATACCATTAGTATTTGCTTAGCAAATAGAAGATTTATCTGGGTTCTTAAAACGTGGTAGCGACATACTCCACAGAGTTTTGTTTTGTTTTGACACAGGGTCTTGCTCTGTCGCCCAGGCTGAATTGCAATGGTATGATCTTGGCACACTGCAACCTCCACCTCCAGGGCTTAAGTGATCCTCCCCGTTTCAGTCTCCTGAGTAGCTGGGACTACAGGTGCATGCCACCACACTTGGCTAATTTTTAACAAGTTTTTTGTAGAGACAAGTTCTCCCTGTATTGCCTAGTCAGGTCTTCAACTCCTGGTCTCAAGCTATCCTCTCACCTGAGCCTCCCAAAGTCCTGGGATTATAGGTGTGAGCCACCATGCTCAGACTCTCCCCAAAGCCTTATCTGTTTTTATGCAATAGTTTTCACTTTGTAACCCCAAAACTTAGTGGTTTACACATCAAACATCTCAGTGTCTGTGGATGAGGCACTCAGGAGCAGCCTAGTTTTGCATTTCTACTTCAGGGTCTCTCATGAGGTTCTAATCAAGAAGGTCAAGGTAACTGTTGGGGCTGCAGTCTTTTTTCTTTTTTCTTTTTTTTTTAAGACAGAGTCCAGCCCAGGCTGGAGTGCAGTGATGAGATCTCAGCTCACTGTAATCTCCACCTTCCAGATTCAAGCAATTCTCCTGCCTCAACCTCCCAAGTAGCTGGAATTATGGGCACATCCCACGACATCTGGCTAATTTTTGTACTTTTACTAGAGATGAGGTTTCACCATGTTAGGCTGGTCTCAAACTGTTGACCTCAGATGATTCAACCACCTTGCCCTCCCAAAGTGCTGTGGTGAGCCACTGCACCTGGCAGATCTTTTATTTTTTTATTTTTACCTTTTTAAAATCCACACTTCTGCATGCTGATGGGATACAGTCATCTGAAGGCTTCACTGGGTCTGAACAATCCATTTCTACGATTCCTCCATCCACAGGCCTTAGCTGACAGGCAGCCTCAATTCCTCACTGGCTACTAAGAACCTTACTTCTTTGCTACAGGAATCTCTCTGGAGAGTTGTATGGATGTCTTTACAACAGGGTAACTTGTTTTATCCAGAATTAATGATCCCAGAGATAGAGCCAGGAGGAAGCCACATGCCCATGCCACTTCATGACCTTGTCTCAGAAGTTACACTTTTTCCTTTCTGCCACATTCTATTTCTTAGAAATGACAGTCACTAAGGGCAGCCTATACTTGAGGTGGTGAACTAGGTTCCACCATTTGGAGAAAGGAGTAGCCAAGGATTTGTGTACAAATTTTGAAAACACTCTTATCCCATATGTCAAGACCCAGCTTCAAACATGTAAACTTTTGTGGGCAAAAATTCTTTTTTTTTTTCTGAGACGGAGTCTCACTGTGTCACCCAGGCTAGAGTGCAGGGTGCAATCTTGACTTATTGCCAGCTCCGTGTCATTCTCCTGCCTCAGCCACCCGAGTAGCCGGGATTACAGGACTGCACCACCACGCCTGGCTAATTTATGTATTTTTAGTAGAAACGGGGTTTTACCATGTTGGCCAGGCTGGTCTCAAACTCCTGACCTCAAGTGATTTGGGGCAAAAATTCTATCAGACTGGCCTCAGTGCTTCCCAAGCCTTTCAGTTACATCTGATCCTTGGTTCAACACCAGATAATTTCATGTGCCTGCAGGAAACAACCAAATGCCAAAACATCTTGAAATGACGAGGGCAACTCAAATTTCCCATATGAAAAATCTGCCAGAATAACATTACTGATAATTCAGAGTTTACAAATGATCATAAGTCACAGCTACTTTGCTATGTTTTCTTAAACTGTGATTACCATACAAAACCAAGATGATAAGACTTCCAGCAAACGAAAGGCTTATTGGTGCAAGGATTGGGAATACTCGCAGGTAAGTGTATTTATTACCTGTTTTGTAACCACCCCCAAATTGAGTGGGTTTTAAAACACATTTATTTGCTCATAGTTTTGTGATTTGGGCAGTGCTGGGCAGGCAGCTCATTTTTTACTGTGGTATGATGT